AGGTACCTCTTCCCTCCCTTTGGTGTCCCTGTTCTTCTACGTGGTAACGGATGGCCAGGAAGTCCTACTACCAGAAGTTGGAGCCAAAGGACAGTTGAAGTTCATTAGTGGACATACCAGTGAACTTGGTGACTTCCGCCTTACACTTCTGCCACCAACCAGTCCAGGAGACACTGTCCCTAAGCATGGCAGGTAACTGGGGAAAGGGTCAGAGTGGTACGGGTAGGGAGGGATGTTGACTTAGCCTGGTTCCCATGGCCCCACCCCACTTTCCCACCAGTGGGACTGCCAAAAACCCCCTTTCCTGTATAACATTTCCTATTTGTCTTCTTGCCTTCAAGCTACAATGTCTTCTGGTCCTCCAACCCAGGGCTGCCACTGCTCACAGACATGGTAAAGAATCATCTAAACAGCTGGTTTCAGCACCGGCCCCCAGGGGCCTCTCCCGAACGCTACCTTGGCTTGCCTGGATCTCTGAAGTGGGAGGAGAGAGGCCCTAGTGGGCAAGGACAGTTCTTGATACAGCAGGTGACACTGAAAGTTCCTTTCTCTGTGGAGTTCATATTTGAGTCTGGCAGTGCCCAGGCAGGAAGAAACAAAGCCCTTGGGCAGTTGGTAGGCAGCCAACTGACCCAGGCCCTGGAGAACCATGCTGCAGCTTTCCAAGAGCGTTTTGAGAGGACCTTCCAGTTAAAGGAGAAGGGCCTGAGCCCTGAGGAGCAGGCTTTGGGTCAGGTTGCCCTTAGTGGCCTCCTTGGTGGGATTGGCTATTTCTATGGACAGGGTTTGGTGTTGCCAGACACTGGCGTGGAAGGGTCTGAGCAGAAAGTAGACCCTGCCCTATTTCCACCTGTCCCTCTTTTCTCTGGAGTACCTTCCCGATCATTCTTCCCACGAGGTTTCCTTTGGGATGAAGGCTTTCACCAGCTAGTGGTCCAGCGATGGGATCCCCACCTCACTCGAGAGGCCCTAGGCCACTGGCTGGGACTGCTCAATGCTGATGGATGGATTGGGCGGGAGCAGATACTGGGGGATGAGGCCCGATCCCGAGTGCCCCCAGAATTCCTAGTGCAACGTGTAGCCCATGCTAACCCCCCAACCCTGCTCTTGCCAGTATTACAAATGTTAGAAGGTGGTGACCCTGATGACTTGGCCTTCCTCCGAAAGGCTTTTCCCCGCCTGCATGCTTGGTTCTCTTGGCTCCATCAAAGTCAGGCAGGGCCAGTGCCACTATCCTACCGCTGGCGGGGCAGGGACCAGGCTTTGCCTACCCTACTTAATCCCAAAACACTGCCCTCGGGCCTGGATGACTACCCCAGGGCATCACATCCTTCTACATCAGAGCGGCACCTGGACCTTCGATGCTGGGTGGCATTGGGTGCCCGAGTCCTATCACAGCTTGCAGAACAGCTTGGGGAGGCTGAAGCTGCTGCAGAGTTGGGCCCACTGGCTGCCTCCCTGGAAGAACCCAGGAATCTAGATGAGCTGCACTGGGCTCCTGAACTGGGAGTCTTTGCTGATTTTGGGAACCACACAAAAGCAGTACAGCTCAAGTCCAGGCCTCCTCAAGGGCTGGTTAGGGTGGTAGGCCGGCCTCCACCTCAGTTGCAGTATGTGGATGCCCTGGGCTATATCTCTCTTTTTCCCTTCTTGCTACAGCTGCTGGAACCCCAGTCACCCCGCTTGGGGCCCCTGCTAAATGTTCTAGCTGACAGCCGCCATCTCTGGAGCCCCTTTGGGTTACGCTCCCTGTCAGCCTCCAGCCTCTTTTACAGACAGCGTAATTCTGAGCATGACCCCCCTTACTGGCGGGGTGCTGTGTGGTTGAATATCAACTACCTAGCTTTGGGGGCACTCCACCACTATGGGCATGTGGAAGGTCCCTACAAGGTTCAGGCCACCAAGCTCTATCATGAACTCCGTGCCAATGTAGTGAGCAACGTATGGCGGCAATACCAGACTACAGGGTTTCTGTGGGAACAGTACAGTGACCAGGATGGGCGGGGCATGGGCTGCCGCCCCTTCCACGGATGGACAAGCCTTGTCTTACTGATCATGGCTGAAGAGTACTGAAGGGACTGGAGGAAAGCTAGGCCACTTGTGTCACTTGGAATATGCAGAGACAAGGTCTTAGGTTTCTGGTCTTGTTCCCTCAGATCTTATAAGCTCATCTCAGGTGTCTCCTTGTCATCCCGTACAGCTCTGGGGTGAATGTGAACTCAAGAGTCTATTTTTCTAAATAAACTGGAGAAAAAAAAAAACAAAAAAACTATTGCCTTTGGCAGTTTTGCCTCAGGGCTACATGCTGTCCTCAGGTAAGGTGATGTTCAAACCCAGTGTGGTTGGGGAGCGTGCAGTAAGTTGAGGTCTACTCTACCCAAAACCACAAGCAGCTGGTTCATGTCTCTTTAATGAGATTAAAGGCTCCTGTGTATGTTTTGGGGGTGAGTAAAGATAGCACAGTCCTTAGTACTGCCCCTCTTCAGGGCTCCAGCCCTTCCAGGCATATTCTAGTGGGGAGGGGAGGGGCCCACATGGAGGAGGACTGCAGTTGAAACCAGGGTTGTTCCTGGTGGCCAAGTAACACCCAGCCTCCCTCTTGAAACTACTTATGGGATGTCCCCATAACTGGAAGCCAGCCCCAAGGGAGGGGTCTGGGACATAGAATCTGGGGACAGTACACAAGGGGAATGGTCTCCCAGATCTGGTTGAGTAGCACTAGCCCTCATCTCCTTGACTGGCTCACCTTCTCTGGAGTCAGGACAAGGGCAGAGCTCAATACCTGAGTCACCAGTCAGGCGACGATACCGGCAGGAAGGGGGTGTGTGAACTGGGCTCAACCCTGCTCTGGGCTCACCCTCCTGATGAGGGAGGGCACTCTGGTGGGAGGAAACACCTTCCACATTTGTCCCCTCCAAGTGGGCAGAGCAGCTGGATGCGGATGAGCAGCAGATGTGTTCACTGGAAGCAGATGAGGGGTGGCCCAGGGTCAGAGTGTAAGGAGGCGGTGGTGTGCCAGGGTGGTGGACCACATCCTCATAGGCTGGGGGTTTGAAGGCGCTGAGGAGTCCTGCAGGAAAGAGAACAGCATGGATGACTGAAGGACTAGAGCTAGAAGAGTTCTCTCTCCTATTAGGGGAAGAGTGCTTTGAGAAGTCTGCCAGTGGAAGTGTGGGACGGTTGAGGGTCCTGGCTTGGGAGAGCTACTGGTTCTGCACCCAAGAGCCTCAAGTCACTCACGAAGATCAAGCAGTGAACCAGTAGGAACAGGGCCAGCCCCATGGCATGCCCCATGGTAAGCCAACAAGTTGATCTCACGCTGCCGCTGCTGCTGCTGCAGCCTGAGTTTAGCTCTCCGGTGACGGAAGGCGCAACAACAGCTAAAAAGGATGAGGACTGTCCAGAGCAGCCAGAACCCTGCAGGAAGCAAGAAGAGCACATCTCAGGTTACCTGCCTCGAGATACATGAAGAGAAGGAAGGGTCCTCAGTAGTTGAATTCAGAAATCCAGGGGAGGATGGGCAGGGGACCTGAGATGGATCCCTTTGGAGACTCACACCAGAGTTCATAGTAGTAGGTGCAGCAGCCAGTCTCCCCACAGCAGTGACCACTCTCACAGAGGTAGGGTTGCGTATTCACTCCCGGGCACAGCTCTTGAAGCTGGAGGCAAGTAGGCACTTAGAACTAAGGGAGATTCTATCCAAAGCCCTTGTCCACCCCACCTCCTGCATCAACATACACAATCCCATCCACGAGCCAACGTAGCTTGGAAAGATGGCATGGGGATGCTAAGAGGAGTGTTTAAATATATAAAGGGCTGTCAGTATGGAAGATTTGGAATAGCCAGAAACTAGTGTAGAAAATAAAAGTGTGGATATACAAAGGTGATTTCAGTTCTTTAAATCCAAGACTTCTCTCACGTAAGCCTGGCCCCAAGGGTGGTTCTTGATAAGGTGGTGGTTTGGAAGAAGCGAAACGATCTACCAATGGGTAGGAATTTAAGGCCATTTCCAAAGCTAAAATGCTTTCAACATCCCCCACCCGGAAGGTCTGCCTCCCACAACCCCAAGATAGATTTTTTCCACCCCTGGGTCTTAAGCTCCCTAGGGTAGAGGAGGGACAGTGTGAGACCCAGAGCAGTGTTCCCAACCAGATGGGATTGCTGTGGATGATAAAGGATGGCATCCAGGGCGCGAGTCTGGGTTCCAGCTCGTTTCCAAATTGCTCCCTCAAGAGAAGACGCTGCCGGACTCTGTTGTGACAATAGGCACATAGAAAAACATCACAAATAACTGCTGCACACAGAGGGAGCCTCCCTGGGGTCCTCACTATGCTTCTGGTAACTGAAAAGCCACTGCAGGATTGCACTGCAGCCATGGGATGAGGTCTAAGAGGCTGCAGGTAAAGTCAACTGCATCTACCTAACAAAGTTTAGACAAAGAGTAGAATGGTCATGTTCAGGAACTTCATAGTACCTTTGGCTCCGTGAGCTCCTCCCCCACCCCGGACAGGAAGTGACAGGAAAGGGGAAAGAGAAATAAATGGCTGTCGTGATAGGCTTTTAGAGCTGCTGGATACCTGCTGCTGCGGCGCCCGGTGTGCCCCCCAGGCCTCTTCGCTGCTGTTCCTGCTGCTGGCCCGAGCCATGCCTCCACCTACAGACCCCTGAAGACCACAGCCTCCTCTACCGCCAGCTGCCCCGCCCCTGCCACCTCTGCCGCCACCGCCATGGTCCCTGCCCGGCCCATCTCCGCTGCTGCCACCATCACTCCGCAGCCGGAGCTCCCATCCCGGGAGAGCTCTTCCAGAGGACGAGGATTGTTAAGTCCAACCAATCAGTACCGCTCACCGACAGACTGACCAATAGGAGCGGGTCACAGGTTTCTTCCGCTGTCCAATCCGCGGCAGCGGCTCTGCCACTCTCCCAGACAACAAGAACTCACACAGACAAAGACAGGGGGAAGGTTCCACAGAGGCCCTGATTGACAGCAACAATAGCCAGTACGGACAACAGAGCAAGCTTTGACTTGTCGGCCAATGAACGGCCGTCCAGGGTCACAAAACTACCGCCGATTGGCTGGGTGAAACAGGCGGGGTTCTCAGTCGGTCGACTTCCCACTCGAGCAATTCCGTACAAGCCGAGACACCACACGAAATTTAATAGGGTGAGGGAGACAGAAGGAAGGTGGCGTGGGCGAGGCCCTAAGTGGCCAGAAGGGGGGACCCTGGGCCCTCAGGTCCACCCAGCCACAGCTGCAGGTTGATGCGGTAGCACTGCAGGCTACAGAGAGCCTGGCCGGTGCGGGAACAGGCGTAACGACGTGGGTGGGGGCAGCCGGGGACAGAGCAGCGCGGC